TAAGATGAATCCATGGAAAATATAATATTATCAATATTAAAACTTTTACACGTAAAAGTTAAAAGAAAATCCCCTAAAGCATTGATGTATTTGCCATACTTAACGATTTTTTTTTTTTTAAACTTTTATTATGATATTTACAACTGTATTAGTATGAATACATCAAGTAAATGTGTACAGAGGAATATTATCACATGAAACACGGTTGTTGAGAAACTACCCATTGGTAGCACTCTAATAATTTGTCTACATGAGAAGATCACGAGGCCATCTTCTTTTCAGACGCCTCGGAAGGTTATCAGGAATCGAAGAGGAAGCAAGGTTAGCAACGAGAGGATTCGGATGGTTATGAAGTTTATTATGGAAGGATAGATATCTGGATTGGGCCAAATCGGAAACATATGAAACATTGAGGTCTTTATGGATTATTTTATTTGTGACAAAGTAAGGAGCATTGAGGACTTAATGATATTATTTTATAAAGTGTTGAACCAATGAAAAATTAAATTTTGCTCCACTTTCTAAAAATGACATTTGTCCACTTTTGATATGAAGCCACTCATTTGTATCTGAATATGATTTTCAACATTCGGCTACTTTCGGTATTCCTCGGTTACAGTATGCTAGATGTGATCTTGAAACGAGCCTCAACCCTGAATTCGCTAATTTTTTTTTGGGGGGGGGGCTTGAGCCTGAAGGATTTTTTTTTCTCATATATATATATATATATATATATATATATATATAATATATATATATATATATATATATATATATATATATATATATATATATATATATATATATATATATATATTAATTATCGTTATATATATATATATATATATATATATATATATATATATATATATATATATATATATAACGATAATTAATTTGAAAAAACTAAATATGACATGGTGTCTTAGTGACTCTTGAAGTCCAATTAAATGTAATCACACGAACAATAATAGTTTAAGAGATAGTTTTTAATATTTTTTTTCTATAAAACATGGTTATATTATACCATTTTTGTTGGGGGGGAGGGGGGCTTCAGCCCCCTAGATCCGCCTGTGGGCACTAGCACTATTTTAACCTCTTTAATGAATGCATTTTATTCACAGTTAACTTTTTAATTTATTCCAAAAAGTATTGCTCAAAACTGATCTAGAATGAGGAGAAGCTATGGATTACTTAACAACCAGCCAGAAATAAATAACCACAATGAGCTATTAATAACATTTCCAACACATTATGAATAAACATTTGCCATTGTCATCGGTAAATATTAATACTAGATACAATATTATTCTATTCAATAGATGTGATATTGACTTGCTCAAGATATGGCATTATCATATTTAGAAGGCTTTGGCGATATCAGCTGGAGGCCGGAAGTGATCCACCGCCCCCTTTATCGCAGCCATTGTACTCTTTAACATATACTTAAGATATCCAGTCATATTTTTGCTCCATTTTACTTCTTATCTTTTCGTTTTTCTTTCGTTTCCTTAACGAACTAATTTGTGTCTTTCTCTCGTTTAGTTCATTTCCACAACTAAAGTAGAGGAATTCATAGGTTATTTCATTTTGGAATAAGGATGTGATATCGAAAGCCCAATATATATATATATATATATTGTCATTGCTTGAAATATTGATACTATTGAGACATTTTTATCAATATTGTAAACATTTTTTAAAAAACAGTAATTTTGAAATATGAATATCATTATAAATATTGAAGAGAAGAATAGTTGGGGTGGTCAGTCAAAAAGGAAGACAAAAATAAATTATAATATTTCATTCTTATTTCAGCTTTCTCAATTTCTTCCCTCCTTCCTTTCATTCCTTTTCTCTGTTTTTAACTCTTTATTATATTATACATTGTCTGTACATCTTGATAGACTTTACAATATCTCAATTTTCTATCTAACTACTCCATTCTCAATGTTTAATTTTACTATTTATTTTCATTTCTTATATAACTTCGTATTTCTTTTTTATGTTTTACATTTTATTCTAAGATTCCCATTGTTACACTTATGTCACCCTTTTTGATTATGCTTACTTCATCGTTCCACGCTTTGTAACGGTTATTATTATTTATCTCTTAGTTCTTAGTCATTATTCTAACAATTTCATTTTACTTTATATTTATTTATTTTATTTTTTTAATTTTAATTTTAATTTTTTATTATTTTATTTATTTTTTTTTACCATCTCTACTTATGTTTCTCATACCTTGTTATCTGGTTATTTTCTTAGCCCTGATGATGGCCTGAACTTCAGGTCGAAACGTCGCGGCATATGTAAAAATAAATATTAACATTTATTTTTGCCTTCCTTTTTGACTGAGCACCCCAACTATTCTTCTCTTCATTATCCACGACAGTCAACCAATTACCAATTATCATTATAAATATTGATTCTCTAGCATATTGGTACATCTAAAAAGATGTTATTTTCCTCTTTAAATTAATTTTTTTTAAACTTATTTATTGAAAAATATCACAATCTCTCTCAAGGACATTTATAATAGCGTTTACAGATCGCATTCACACTCTATGTTTAAATTAATTAATGAAAATATCAATTCTTCTGCTCTCCTTAGTAAAATTAATTTCTTGGTTCCTATTCATGTTCGTCCTCAGTTATTTCTAGAAATTTCCGTTCAACAAATTATGCCTTCCATTCACCCGTAGATCAGATTCAACGAAATGATAATTTATTTGCAGCCTACACAGATTTCTTTGATTATTCATGGCCTTGGTTTAAAGATTCTAACTAACAAATTTGAGAAAATTGAATGCCCCCTCGGAAATTTCATTCAGAACAAATTTATATATGTTCCAAATGAATGAATTTGGATTTTAAGTTTACAACCTACGTGCGCTATTTACAACTCTCCTAGGTATTACACTCTATATAACAACATGCAAGATGAATATATATATATTTTCTAACGATCAGATTCATATAAAATCTATAGAGTTTTTCGAAAATAATAATATTAATTTTATTTAAAATTTAAAAATATCTTAAGGACGAAAAACGAATAATAATTTTGTCCGTCCGCCGTCCGCGCATTTTCTCTGAAACTAGTGGACCGATTTTTTCAAATTTAGATTTAAAATTAGAGTTCACCTGAGGATGATCCTCCTTCATCGACATTACTAGCTGCCTTTTACTTTCAAAATGGCGGCCGAAAAACCTGGGTTGCTATATACTGTATCGCCTAAACGAATGTAGCGATTTCAATGAAACTTCGCTAAAGTCTTCTTCTTGATGCCCTTTAAATTTATCTATGCAACATACTTCAACGAAAAAAAGCTGGAAAAAATTACAAGGGATGGTAAAATTAGATTCCGAATGACTAAAAAAGTATACACTTTTTTGTCGATATTGTGATAAAATGTCTCAAAGCTATTTACATTTCTTAAAAAACGAACAAAGTTTCATCGAAATCAGAGCACTATTAGTGAAGATATCGCCATTTTTAAATATTTTTGTTTTTATTATTATTATGTTATTTTTTTTTGTTTTTTTTTATAAATTTACGAAATTTCCTAAAAAACAAAAGAAATCGGACAATTAGGAGCAAAGTATGGTTTCTAGATGTTTTTTATGTTCTACTGCAAATGTTATGTTTTGGATTTTGATTTTTGAATGTATTACTGTAATGATTTTTTTTTTTAACAAATTACTAATAATGAAAAAAAAAATGTTTAGGAAAATAATTGGAATTAACTTTTTATTTCTTTTAATTTGTAACTAGAAAGGTAATGCTTCTTTAGATGTATGTATGATTGTCGGGAAATAATTTGCAGCGTTTTTTCTTGTTTTGAGGTTCTTAGTTCATTTTTGCAGTTTGGTCACATAACCCTGAACTACCCTGTATAAAATGGTTTATATTATTTTAATACACTTACTATATTTTTTAATCAATAAATAAGATCGAAATTCATAAAAACGTTCTTAAAAGTTCAATTCCAACAAAAAAGTAGTGACTTTTTGCAAAAACTATTTAGTATAGAGATTTTTTACAGGAAAAAACTTTTTTCCTTAATATTGGTTATACTTCCATTATATCAAGGATAAATAATCTATTTGATAGTTCTCCCTCTGTAAATTTTTTTTTCTCCTTCAAGCTTGTCAAACCAAATCCTATTTTGCTAATTAATACATAAAAAATTCTCGATAACTTCATGAACTTCTCACTAAGATTAAATAAGTTATAACTTGATTTGATTGACACAAGAGGAGTCATGTTAAAATATAACCTCTTTTCGAACCATTTAAAAGGAGTGACCTCACTAATAGGCCCAGATTCCATCTTGATTGGTTGTAATAGTGGTCTATGGTTGCTGAACAGAACAGCTGACCAATATATCTTCTAGTTATGTCTTGTACTCATTCAACTTAGATATCATTTAAATGCAAAACTTAAGCACAAAATAATCGAATACCAAATTTATTTACAGATAAAAGGATAGGCCAAGAGAAACACTACATTGGAAACAAATAAACTATACAATATTGTTTGTTAAACGATATCGATACGATACAATATTGATATTAGATTTAATTGAATGTTCATAATGATGATTTTTCATAACCAATTATTTTTGTTCTCAATATATAATGTCAGTTGTTAAGAAAACAACTGATATATATATATATATGAATTCGGAGGTTACCAAAGAAGAATTTGGATGCATTTTATCTCTATTTCATAAACTTTTGAACTCTATTGTGTGGATTTCAGATATTTGTATATGTATATATTTATGAAACAGTTTGAACACTTTTATCCATTTATTTCATGTAAATATGACTTTAGTGAAAAAACCATGCTGCTTGGTCTTTGTATTATTGGTAGATTTTTAATATTAGTTTATTTTAGGTTACTAATATATAGTGTGTTATAATAATTATATTAATATTCATAAAAATTATATCATACATTTCCACTGAAAGAAATTGTTTTATTTTTACAGTCTCCTACACTTATCTATCTGATGAACCTGCACATGATGCACATTTTGAATATGTTCCGTTGGACACAAGATATGCAAGTGCTCGAGTAAAAAGATATGTGTTTAACACCATTGGCAAACTCGCTGACAGCTACGACAAAGGAAATTCTCAAGATTTGAGAAAAAGTGAGTACTTAACCCTTTCAAAACTTCTTTTATTCATTTCTTCTTGATAAATTACACTTTTCGGGTTGGTTTTTACATTCTCAAGTCTGCCTAAAAAACATATTTGATCTACATTAAATCCTTTGTTTCTCATGTACCGACTGATGTTTAAATTTATTTACCTTTGAATTCATATTTTTTCATATGGTATCACTCAGTTCATCATCCTCTTATATTCAAAATTTTTTAAAATGTTCTGCTTATCATATTATATGTTACAAGCAGTTGTTTCAACTATTGATGTTTCATCCCAAACATGTGGGTCATCATCAGGGTGTTTCGAGGACTGAAGGTATTCAAATACTATTAGTATTTGAGTACTTGAATAAGTACTATATAATGAATAAGTACAATGAGTACTTGAATACCTTCAGTGCTCGAAACATGCTCTGACCCACATTTTTGGATTGAAACGTCAGCACCAATAAAAACTTTGTAATGATTGTGGCCTGGATATTTATTACCCATTTTATTTATTTCTTGTCAGATATAATATAATTATTATTTTCATATATTTTTTATTTTATGGTTTTTTTATTTTATTATCTTGTCTTTCTTTAGTCCTGATGGAAGCCTGGAACTAGAATCATGGAGACAAAAAATAAAATAATTTATTTATTTTTTTTTTCTCACTTTGATTGTATCTTTCTCTTAGCTCCCCAATCATGTTTTATACAAATATATATATATTTCTATATTTTTTCCAACTACCTTGATGCTATTTCATACACGACATTTGTTATATCGATGATAATTTATTTCCAGCTGATGTTGGGTTGCCGAGAAAACATGCAGAATTCATTGGAAGCGTTGCTGTTATGGGAGAGGGGGAAGTCGCCCCTCCGGTTAAAGAACCTGCTCCATCCAGCAACAGAGACCCGCCACATGAAACAATAGCAACTAGTAATACAATTTATTTTTCTTTTGATTGACAATCATTATAATTAATAAGATTGAGATTGAACTAACGAGAATAAATTTTCAGCCATTTCTACAACGGTACCACCAAAAGTTACGAAAAAGCCTATCATAAAAAATCCTAAAAAAGCTACAGAACAGCAAAGTACTGATCCACCAGTCATCAACGGAACCAAAACTGAGCCTGAACCTTGTGTTGAGAATTGCGATGGTGAATTTCCGAAAGAAGTTACAAATAATACTTTAACCAGCAATAACATAACTAAAAAAGTTGTGGTAAGTTTTTGTTAGACAATTTTTTTTTTTAATAATATTTTAAATTCCAATAAAAAGCTCTCAAATTGCAGTAAATAATTAATTATTCAGTATTTCACCAATTAAGGCAATCTGAATAAGTTATCATTTAAAAGTGTACACAACACCTAGAGCTATATAGAAATCCATCTTTTCATCCATTGAAACATTTATTGGATTATTGGATTGAAACAGTTATTTTTTTTTACAATTAAGTTCAACTTTAACTGTTTGAAAAACTTTTATATCAATAAGAGGTTAAAGGTAAAAGTTTTTTTAAAACTGTTAAATAAAAGTTCTAGCTTAAAAAAGTTTATTTTTATTTGTTTTATTTAAGGATGTTTTCTTTATAAATTCAAGTTTTCCTCAGTCGGTTCCATCACTTCTCCCTGTCCATCGCTTCCTCCTCCGTCAGCCCTCGGCCTGCCATATTCTGAGCCACAACATCTCTCCACCTGACATGATGCCTTCCTCTTCTTCTCCTACCCTCAGCCTCCCATTTGTAGTAGATAGCCTCTAGTATTTACTCCTTATGTGACATTGAGTGAGGGAATAAGAAGGACTATGAATTGGATTCCAATCCTCAATCCACGGGAAAATTGTTTCCATTTAACCTAACCTATGATAGCTAGTAACTGCAATTATTACAATGTTGCTCTGGCATTTTAATAATAGTTTACATTCCATCTTCATCATTATGTTATTTTATTATTTTTATTTTATTCTTCATTCCTTATCTTAATGTTCAGCAGATAACTATGCAAATTTTATGAGAAGGAATTGATCGGGGGGTGCGGTCATATAAATACTAAATTATAGAAAGATATTTTGTATCTTTTGTAGCCCTGATGAAGACCTGCAAGGTGGGTCGAATCGTGGGCATAATTATTAAATAATACTATTTATATAATTTAGTACTTATATGACCGCACCCACCATCAACTCCTTCTCATATTATATCACGGTCAACCATCTCTACATTATTATGTATGCAATTTTTATTATAAACAGATATGATAGTTATATGCTTATGTAACAGTATCGTTAAGCTAGATAATATAATTAGTATTTAAATATATTTTCATCTTCTAAAGAGTGATTTTTATTATTTTATTTATATACTTTAGGACCACCATGCTTATTACACAAGCACGTTTTTGGAAGGAGAGAAGGACGGTCGTCATTATTGGGTAGATTTGGACAAAGAAAAGGGTGTTGTTGTTAGCGAGATGCTTTCCAAAAGTCATCGGAGAGCAGCGGTAAGTTTATTTTTTGAATGAATTAAACAATAATAGGTAATTAATTTGAATATATAACTTCAGCTGTTGATATTTGAGTTTGTTTGTTAACTATGTCCAGAATTCATATTTACAAACTAATTTATTATACTATATAAAAATTCTAACATATTATTACAATTTTTTTTTCAGACTGTTAGACTAAAGTTTGATTTTCCCTTTTACGGTCATATTGTAAGAAACATGACGGTGGCGACAGGAGGTTTTATTTATACTGGAGATTATATCCATTCATGGCTGGCTGCGACACAGTATATTGCTCCCCTTATGGCTAATTTTGATACAAGTTTATCCGAATCCAGTTTGGTTAAATACAGAGATAATGGTTTGTATAATAAACTATATTCAATATAATAATGCTTCAAAAATCTGAGCTGAATCAACTTCATCGAATAATTTATATTAATTGAAATATTTTTTGTGCAGGTACTGCCTTCACCGTGGAATGGGACAGCGTAATGTTGCAAGACAAAAAGGATGCTGGAGCGTTCACGTTTCAAGTGACCCTTCATAAGACTGGTGACATTGTATTCGTTTACCGAGAAATTCCCATCCTCGTTGAAAATATTGAAGATTCTCAACATCCAGTGAAAGTCGGCATCTCTGACGCTTACATCATTGATAAAACTGTTTTCTGTAAGTTTAATTAATTAATTTGCAATTTGGTCATGGGGAAAAATAGATGAATATTTTTTTTTTTAAATGTCTTTATTGATATTAATGAATATCTGAGCTCTTCTAGGCAGTTTAAATATTTAAAAGTTTACCAAATTGGGTCAATTTAGCTCCTTCATCATTTCTATCGGTTAGATAATTATCTATATTTTAAAATCTCTTATTTGTTTTTTGAGAATAAAATTTTGAAGTAGTCTTTGTCAAGGTAAAAGAAGTAGACGGACTTTGGCAAAATCAATATTGGGTCATTTAGGTGTGTTAATAGTTGGTGTTGTGGTCTATGAGATGGATTCGATTGTATAATTGTATTACCATAAGTATAGTAAATTTTTTCTAAAATAGAATTTAGACCATGTATGTAACTGATTGTTTATAAATTAATATGTGTTTTATAATGTAAAGTTTAAAATGAAACTACTAAATTAAAATTAGTTTGCAGGATCTTGAAAATGACTCCTGAAACTGAAACATAGAATAATAAATACATAATGAGATAACGTGTATATTTGGTGACCTTTGGCCTAATGTTTTTAAAAAACTTAATTATTTTAATACTTTTTTTTAAAATTTCTATCAAGTAACGGGCGTCCCGGGGAAATTGCCATTAATCTATTTATTAAAACATTAAAAGTAATTTGTATTTAAAACACTTTCTGCTAGATATGGTCATACTATTCTGGGTTTCACCCACTCAAGCTAGGAACTACCATCAGACATCCTCTCTTCTACACAGCCAAACAACCACTTTCTTTCTTTGTTTCCCACAAGAGCAGCCATTTTCCTTTTTCCTCAACAAATGAAACCATGTTTCAAATTAAAAAATCCCTTGGTATTAGCAGAATTAGATTAAGCTTACCTCTTAACTAGGTTAGCTTGCTTGAAATTAACTGAACTATTTTTACAAACTTCCAAGTTATATATACACAGTAGTGGCCTTTGGGCGAAACAACCAGGGCGCCAACCTGGAGAGGGAATTATTTAGGGAAGGAATGACGTCATTGCCCTGGGGCGCTGAATGTTTAACACCCGCACTGTATACTCATTACAATATATACTTTTAGAATTCAAAATCAAAATAAGATTAAATTATTACTTTTATTTCTTGTTGCATTATATTTATGAGGTATATTTTTTTTATTTTAATTTTCATATTTTAGACGTGAGAAAGAAAACAATTTTTGAATATCATCGAGTGCTATTTAACAGAGATGATATTAAGAACTGGACCGCAATCTATTTGAAGGCCTTACCGACCTGCCTCGACTATAAGGATTGCTACTCGTGCTTAGCCCACAATACAAGTTTTGAGGTAATGTATATAATTTATAAATAATATAGTATATAATGTATATATAATTCATTGTGTTCATTGCAATATTTATCAAAAAAATCTGTGAGTCTGAAGTATACAATTTAGATATTAAATCACCAAGAATCATTTAAATTGGATCATTGTTAGCAAAGATATAGGAATGCTTCTCTGATGTTCCTCGTTGTTCAATGTCAACATCGTTTACATTAGCTAGGAGCTGACTTTGTTTAATAAATATTGTTCCACCAGCCTGTATTTTTGCTTGTCTAACAATATATTCCAGGGCTAAGTTAAACAGAAATAAGCCAATGCATTCTCCTGGCAGATCCCATTTCCTGCAGCAAATTCTTTAGAATGGTCTCTGTTTATCAGAACCACACATCTCAAACTTTGAAAGGTTTGATACGCATAATTTTTTTATTTGTTTATTTAGCCTCTATCCCTAAGGGTCATTGGCTTAATGTTTCCATTTTATATTTGTTGATAAAAGTGAATATTCTTTAAATATTTGAACAGTTTTTCTATTTCATTCTCCCCATCTTGCAGAATTTCTTTCATTTCCGTTCCCATTTGAAATTTTTTCCTTATATTAGTGTACCTTCTACAATCTAATAATATATGTTTTGTTGTTTTGGGTACTAGGCAATGTGTACAAGTTGGAGCTTCTAATCCTCGCAGGAGGTATCCATGGGAAAACTCACAGTGGCTAATTCTTAGGCGACCTGGTATCACTTCTTCTCCTCTAGACTTTCTGTTTGATGTGTTCCATTTGATACATTTTGTTTTTATTTCCTGAAGTTTTGCCGAACTCATTTCCCATTCAATGTTCCATTTATTCCGAAAGGAGCAGGCAAGTCGGTGTGTCCAATCTTCTCGAGGGATAGCATCAATTATTGTGGTTTGTGCAGTTCCTTGATGCCGGGGAGAGTAGGTTGCAGCATCGGCTCTCTCGTTACCCAGGATGCCACAATGTGAGGGTGCCCAGATAAGGACTATATTAATATCATATTCCTTTAGTTCACCATATATGTTAAAAATTTCTGTTATAACAGAATGCTGGTTCCTTGATTGTTCTAGGGCTTCTATTATGGACATTGAATCGGTCACGATAGCATGGTTTTTTAAGTGGTTTGTGCGAATGTGCAAGAGTGCTTCTTTTATTTCCATGGCTTCTCCCGTAAAAATAGAAAATTCTCCTGAAAGTTTGTACAGGAATTCTTCACTGTCTGTAACGACTGAACATCCCACTTGGTTTTCGGCTTTTGATGCATCTGTGTACAATATTTTGTAATTGTAGTATTTGTTTAATAATTCTAAAAAGTAATTTGTATTTGAAACGCTCTCTGCTAGATGTGGTAATACTATTCTGGGTTTCACCCATTCAAGCAATTGAATTGACTATAAATAGTTCAATTATGCATATGAGTTTATTAGGGATTTTGAATATTTAGAGTGCTTTATAAAGCTCTTCGAGATTAATAGTATCATAGGCTGCTTTAAAATCAACGGTTTTCATATTGTGTTCATGCATCCTCTCAAGAATTTCCCATAGGCTAAATTCATATTTCCATATCAGTCATATAGCCCATTATCACATACAATCTACCAGAACTACTTGAAATGAATTTACTGTTGTAAAATCTTCAATAGACAGGTCCCGATAAGCCTGGCACAGCGATTGGAGCTTCCCACAAATTGCATTTTATTGGCACAAAAATTAAAATATTTAATGTTCAAAAAACCATGTTGTATGTTTGTGTTTGTTTTTGTGAATTAACCTCTTCTGTTATTAAATAAATGTTTTATTTGTCAAGTTCCATCATTGATGTTTCGGGCCCGTAACCCACCTTGGGTGATTTTTCTTTACAGTTATATTTTCATTATTATTATTAATATACAACATTCCGCTCTTTATCACATATTATTGAAATTGATAATGTATTGAAAAAATGGTCGTAATAAAGTGGTTACACTATTGTCTGATGTGTCCTCATTCCTTTTTAATCTCTATCTCTAATAACAATCATAAGGCTTAGCGAACCCAAAGGTTGGATGCCAATACCACCAATCGCCATCCATACCTAGTCCCTTCAGATCAGCCTTAACACAATTTTCCCATCTTCGCTTTGATCTACCCCTCAAAGCTTGCCAGTCGGTACTGCGTATATTAACTTTTTAGGAATTCTTTCGTTACTAAGCCCAGCGATTTTACATGCCCATTTTATTCTCCTCAACTTAAATCATCTCAATTATACTAACCAGATACTGTTCACGCAATTCGGCGTTGTGTAACCATCTAAACTTTCCGAGTAACTCATCCTTCTTCAGTCCGAATATTCTACAAAATATTTAATTTTTAAAAACTTTAAGACGTTACTCATCCCTTGATGTAAGGGGTCACGTTTCGCTTCCATAAAGAAGAACTGTAGATCGAATAATCGTTTTATCGATTCTAATTTTTAAGTTCCGGGACAAGAGGCACGAGCTAAGTGGTTTTGTCACAGAAAAATAATAAGCATTTCCCGCCTTCAGTCTAACCTTAATCTCCTCTTCAATTTAGTTTTTTCTAGTTATCGTAGACCCTAGATACCTAAACTTCTTTACGTGTTCAAACATATTCCTTTCTATATCAATGTCACCGGCATTATTGCTATTTTTGCAGCTAACCATACATTTTCTATTAAAACTTATATCTACTTGGAATAATTAATTCAATCAATATTTTGTAAATGTTTGGATTCAATTAAAGTGCCGATTTTAAAGAATTATTTTGATGTGATTAATAAATACTAAGCACTTATTTTACTCCCAGTTTTGATTTTCGTACTTTTAGCCGACTTACAATGACACAGAGGGAAATGATACATCGCTTTTCTCCGAGGTAAGGCATCCGTAGCATGTATAAACTACTCACTTTTTGTTTATATTATTAATCAGATGAAGACACAAATGTAGATCATTTTTTTATATTTCCATCAATAAATTGCACTTTTGAGCACTGCATGGAAATTAATAAGTATAAATACTTAGTCAGCAGTTTTTTTTTTTTTTTTATTTCTTGATACAGATTTTATTTACCTTTTCTTAAATGAACAAAATTCAGTCAGTAGTTAGTAGTATTTGTTTCTATGATAAAAAGTTTACGTCCACTTAGCAATAACATTTTTATATGAGAAGGAGTTAGTCGGGGGTGCGGTCAAATAAATACTAAATTAAAATATAGTAATTATTTAATTTTTGCCGACGTTTCGACACACTTTGCAGGTCGTCTTCAGGGTGTAGGAAATAGCACTACGGGTGGCAGTTGAAAAACTGCTTCCAGTGTGTCAACTGCCTCCCGCAGTGCTACATCCTACGCCCTGAAGACGACCTGTAAAGTGGGTCAAAACGTCGGCAAAATTAAAATTAAATAATTACTATATTTTAATTTAGTATTTTTTTTACCGCACCATCGACTAACTCCTTCTCATATTATATCAACGGTCAACCATCTCTACATCATTAACATTTTTATAAATTTATTAGCACCCATTGCAACAAAAAACGCTTTCTTTCAATCCTTTATCCCTTACTTCCTATGAATTAAATATAATATTACGATTTTAGTTTGTCCCTTTACGTTGCCAAATATATATTTTTTCTGGCAGGCAATTTTTATTCTGAACAACTAAATTTTAACAATCATTGTTATCAATTAATTAAAATTTAAATTATTAAAATTATTAAAATAATTAGTAGTCGGTATAGTTAGCCGTAACCGACGATACGGCCAACTATACCGACTACTAATTATATATTTTAAAACCCAATTCTTACCTGTGGCCTTGTATTTAACATAAATACAATTACAATCATAATTTCATAATAATTATGAAAAAAATTTAGAGGTATTATAAAACCAAAACAATATTTTATCATAGATACCCTATGACTGGTTTTTTATCAACTTAAAAATCCAAAATGTTTTAATATTGCTAGTTTTTTTCCACATTATATGAGTGTTGTTACTATTGTATTTTATGTAATTTTTATTATTATTTTATTATTCATTATCATTAATATTATTTTTATTATATTATATACTTTATCTATTTTTATACTTTTATAATTTCAGCATGGCTCTATTCTCAAAACATAGTTATTGATTTTTTTTTTTTTTTAATTAAAAATAATAAGATATAAAATTTAAATTTTATGGCTTGAAAAAGCCAGATAAAATTATCAGTATTTTTATGTAATTGCTTAAAAAATATAAAGAAATCCTTTTTTAAAAATTAAATTGTAAAATTTTTAAAAATATATGATCTTTCTTGCTCTGTCAACTTCATTGCACTTAATACTAAATTCAATGATATTTGTTCCAAGACGATTTATTTAGCAACTTCTTGTTAAATTTTTAGTGCAAATGGTGCCAAGAGGTGAACCGGTGCTCCTCGGGTTTCGACAGATATTATCAGGATTGGTTCAACAACGATTGTCACAACTCTTATGTCTCGCAAAGCAACAAGTGTTCTGCAATATCTGAGAGAAACGTATCGCAGCCTCCTTCTGTCGAAGCACATTCCAAGGGTACAGTTTTGTCTTATATATCTTTTTATTTTTAAATTATAAGTCATTTGTTTTTAAGTAATCTTGATGATTCCTTTTTTTTTACAGTGGATGAATCTAAAGATGCTCGCCTTGGTCATTTTGGAATGTTAAGTCTTTTTATAATAGTTTTGCTTGTTACATCGCTTGGATTGTGGGTCTACCATGCGTATAGGAATCCTCATACGAGATCAGGTCAATTCTTAATTAGAGTAAGTTGATGGAAATTTCTCTAATAATTTAATTCGAAGAGAAAGTTATTTCCTATCAAAATAAGTGAAAGTAAAAACTTACTGACAGAGATTTAAAATTAAAATTATTATTTATTTTTGTCTAATGTTTACAGCAATTCTTTAGATTAAAATTTTTGATTTGGTCATTATTCACATATAGTAAATTTAACCAATAATAAAAATGGTAGCAATTCTATGACTCGTAAAAAAATGATAATAACTCTTCTTTTTTTCTGTTGGCTTTACAGATCTTCTAGATCATTGACCATCTGATCAAACTTTAATTTAATGAATTTAATCAAAAATTTTTAAGCCATTTTAGAGAAAATTGTAAAAATGTATAAAATCGGCAAATATAGTTGAAAATATTTGACCAAAAAATGGTTGTAAAATTCCATGTTGTAGTAGGCATCCCCGGTATTTACTCCTTTATATGACAATGCGTGAGGGAATGAGAAGGTATATATAATATATAGGAATGTGAGGTAGCACTGTGAATTGTACTCAATTGTGCAGTGGACAAATTGCTCATTGCAAAATCTCACATCGATAAAGAATCGAAAAGAAGAAAAGGTCCGATCAGGTAGCTGGCAACAGATGGCGAGGACGACTCCAAACACTTAAGGCCTGGACACCAACACAAGAAGACGTCATCTGGGAAGAGAGGCTTACTACATTGAAGACCAAGATTATCAAGCCAACCGTTCACTTATATATATTCATTTATGATCAATTGTCAAAATAAATTGTTTTATTATACCGGAGTGAATAGCCCTTTTATTTAGTTGTCCTATAGGCCTCACGATTGAAGAATAAACCAGGTGAGTCAATTCAAAGTGTTTACTAAGTCCCACATTTCATATATGTATTCTTATTGTTTCTTCTCACACAGTGTCATAAAAGGTAATAGATTCCCGAATTCCCAATCACAGTTAAACACCCTCAAAAGTCGATATCCAGTGCCTGGGTTTTGTTTTAATGATTCACGAGTGTAAATAACCTTAAACCCCGATATTAAAGCGGAAGGCTATGCGCCTATTCCTGCCAAAACTAATCATTTACAATTAACTTCCCGTAGGTTATTTACAATGTATATCTTTACTTTCAATAGATAATATCAGTTTTGAATAACTTTTTGTTTTTTAGCTTGGCCATTCAAATTTGCAGAACTTGGTTATTTGGACCCAAGGGACCTTAAAACATGTATTAGGGGGACCTGAAAAGTAACTTCTGAGCATGTCACTATTTGATTGTCATTTTATTATGTGCATCTTTGTCGTGGTAAAGACATTCTATGGTTATAGTGACTTCTTTAGTTGCAAATAATTTAATTTAAAATTTAATTGAAGGAAGTTAGTCGACTGTTCTACATATCATGGTTGATAAATATTCAGGATGCAGTCATTATAAAGTTTTTATTGGTGCCAACGTTTCAACCCAAATATATTCGATCATCATCAGGGCGTGTTTTGAACACTGATGATGACCCACATGCTTGGGTTGAAACGTCGGCATCAACAAAAACTTTATAATGACTGCGTCCTGATTATATTTATCACCCATTAAAATTTAATTATATATTTTTGCAATTTTCAGTGAAATGGCTAGCCAAATACCAGAAGAGGTACATATCTGGCATTGCATGCTTTTTGAGTTTTGCAAGGATAGTAATGCAACAGTTGCTACCAATGTGTTTATCCAATGCGTTAGATGTTCGGAAATGTCGAAGGTCGATTTTCAAGTTCTAATCTGGTAATTTTGTTCTTTCCAAGCTGTATCAATCAGGAAGACCAACAATCGTATACAGTGATGTGTTAAAGGCAGAAATCGAAGCAAATCTGTGTCAGACAGCTCAGAAATCGTCAAACAGTATTAACCCACCTTGGTCGACCATTCAAGAACATTTGCAGGAGATTGGGAAACGAAACCCCACCACATGCTACTTATTGGCACATGCACTGGAGATGAAAAATGGTCCTGTATGATAATCCAAAACGTAAAAGGCAATGCCTCTTCAAAAGAATCACCACGAAGTATTGCTAAGCCAGGTTTACGTCCCATAAAGGTTCTTTTGTGGGTTTGGTGGAGTATTCCTGCCTTATTTTGAAGTGCTGAAACCTGGAAAAACTGTGAATGCAGGACTTTATTGTGAACAATTGGATTGTGTAAATCAATCTTTAATTGAAAAGTGGCCAGAGATTGTCAACAGAAAAGGCGTTATTTTGCAACACGAAAATGCAATATCGAATTGCTTAAGAGGAATCCTGGAAAAATTAATGAATTGGGACGGAAGGTAATGCCTCATCCACCTTACTCACTTCATGTTGCACAATCATTTCATTCATACGGGTTGTTTCAACACTTTCTAAGTGAAAAAATATTTGCAAATTTGAGTGCTATCCAAAATGCCATCTCTTTATTAATTTATTTTTGTCGATCCTGGATTGAAAATTAGTACACTTGATGGCAAATGGTTGTGGATATTTATGTGTTTGAATTTAATGTAAGAAAACGACATTACTTTCTAGTCCCTCTAATATATCCGTTGAAAATTCAGTTTCTAAGTTTCTCACAATTACATCAGTTTCCCTTTTCCTTATACATGAGATATTATTTCATATTTACTTGAGTAAAATTAAAATAGTTATTGCTGTGGTTATCTATTTTCAGCCTTTTTTATTTAAGTTTATTATTACATGTTTGTAAATGTAATTGTCAATTTTTTTAACTATTCATTATAAAATTTATTCATTCAATGAACGTTTTCTAGTACCGACCGAGTCAGTGGACCTTGAGAAGAGGTGAAGCGAGGTACACAGCCGCCACAATACACATGTAAAATAATTTATGGTAAGTTTATTTTATTATCATTAATTTTTTTATAAACCGATGTTTTATTTCAAACTTATATTGAGATTATTTTTAAATTTTCAGGACATCACTGGCGTGTTTGTTACATGAAATCAACCAAAAAGTAAATGTGCCTTCATTATGTAAAAATTTTTAGAACGAATTGAGCGGTCAGTGTTAATAAAAAGACAATTTGTGTATAAACTTGTAAAAGTGATTTATGTTTTGTATAAATATTATTTTTTTGATGAAGAGATTGATAAATATTTAAAGTCATCGACATATCTCTAGGAGAGACAAGAAGGAGAAACAAATTGCTACCGTTTCCTTTCTCGCTGCGGAGGGCCCGTTCAAGAACACTGTGATTGAGAGCAATCTGTTGCCTTTAGGTTTACGTTACGTTGTTAAGTGTTTTGTAATAATTTATTTGTTGTTGATGTATCAAAGAGTAAACATTTATTTCAGCCGGAACAAACCTTTTTATCCATTTGTAGTATAACTAGATGCACAAACAAATTTTATATATTTTTAAATAATTGCCTGAAAATGTAGTAATTTGACTTGTAAATATATTTTTAAATCCAGTTTTTAATAAATTATGTATATTTCTTATAGCCTCATCCCACCACTATAATACTAGTAAAATATATATATATATAAATAAATGAATTATTATTAATAGTTAATTTTATATTCCTTTGATTATTTCTGACAATTTATCAAAAATTATGAAATTCTAAGTCATATTAGTATTAGAGTTTACTTATTACGTAAGAAGTCAAGATAATCAATTGTTACACGAAATACAGATAAATAAGTTGTAATGAGTTAAAAAATGTAGTAAGACATGCACATAACATATCCTTAATTAAATTGTACAAGCTACAAATAGAAGATGGTAGGGGAAAATTATTTAAAAGGAGAGGGATTTATTTAAAGATGAGAGAATTAGTCTTTATTTCTTACTTTCCTTGGCAGTGTTGAAATAATAACAATCAACGTTTCTGTAGCAATACTGATTCATGGTAATCTCCATAGTTACCATATCGTGAATTATTTAATATACAGAAGTATAGTTGATTTTTTTTTTTTTAAATTATGAGGAATAGTATACTCGAGTAAGAACAAGCGTATTATATAGCTGTTCTTAATTCTAAGCAACATCACGGAAACATGTTATCAAACCTCGATTATCTTTATTTTATTGAATAAATTTTGTTCAAAAGTAAATAATAGCTTTAAAATTATATTTTCTTTTTTTAACATATATTTTTTAATCAAATAATTTTAAATAAGTCATTTTTGTTTTACTATTTTGAGAATAATATTCATTACTTGTCTAATAGCCGGACTGGACCAACTGCTATCTGCCAATGTTTATAACTGTTGAACACTTTTATTTTACAACATATATGTTAAATAGACGATAACAAAACAGTTTGGTTTGAAATTGAAATAGACAAAAAGAAATGTAATAATTCTCACAACAATAAGAAAACACTTTTAATTTTACAACACATAAAGAGAAGTTTCGTACAGTCCTATCAGACAAGTACCTAATATTCTATGAAATTATTTACTTTAAATACAGCTATAATTGTATGAAATTTTTTCTCTTCCGTATGTGTTATTTATTTATCTGTCCTACGTTTCGGGCTCTTTTCCTATAAATAAAAAACATACGAAAGAGAAAAAAATGTCCATATAATTATACCTAAATACCATTTAACTCTTCCTTTAGTAATGATTGAATATAAAATAATATATGAAGATATTTACTTGAAGTAATTGTGTGTTTGAAGTAACAATATAAATATGGAAATATGATAGAAAGACTGGCAAGTAAATTGGTAAGCTCCTAAACTCATCCATGGATCCATAAATATAATTCAGTGGGTTCCTTTATTCATCGATTGCTCAGCGATTCCATAGGCTTTTGGGATCGATATTTTCAAATATTTGTTCACAAGTTTGAATTTTTTTGTGAAAATTAAAAAAAAATCATCCGTGTAACTGGGTCTTTATCTGGTCAATATCACTCTATTTCGATTTTTGTCAATACATTTACTGTATATGGGTCACATTGCATCAATTTTTTTTATTTTAATCAAAGCTCTTTCAGAGAGAAACACTTTATTTTCATATAAAATATAAAAGCTTGCTGCTCAATTATATTAGGTTGCTAGACACACAGCATACTGATTAATCTATAGGACAATCAATAAAGCTTATATATAAATATACAGAAGAGGTTAATATAAATGTGTATAATAAATATTGTTTATTTATTATCGTGATACAGGTCAACGATGGACCACGCGTATATCACTTCTATATCTTTTTCCTTTCTGCCCATATATTATTTTTCATTTTTTCTACCACCCCCCCCTCTCATCCTCTCCTCTGTCTATTTCTTACTGTCTTGTTTTCTCTTATCCGCTACAAGAACAGTTATATTTTTCACTATTTTCCTGAATTTATCCTTATCTAGGAAGTCCTCCTCTTTGATACCTATTATTTTCACTTCTTCTCTTATTTGTTCCGGATAAGCTTTCGCGTTCTTCAGTCCCATTACTAATCGAATATTTGTTTGATCAGCCTATTCAGATCAATTCCCTTCATATGCCCGAAGAACTTTAATCTCCTTTTTCTCATCATTGATTCCAAGTTCTCAATCTGTTCATGAAGCTCATTGTTCTTTTTTAATCGGTATTCTTCCTCCACTTTTCTGGGCCCATATATTATTCTCAGAATCTTTCTTTCTGTTTTCAGTAGTGATTCCAAATTAGTAAATTCCATAGTATAATAAATAAATACATTTACACACACACACACACACACATATATATATATATATATATATATATATATATATATATATATATATATATATATTATTGGTCTAGGAGACCTCATCTCGCGTACAAAGATATTCATGGTCTGTAGCGCCAACCAAAAAAAAATATATATATATATTTTTTTTTCCTGGTTCATGCTTTTTTTGTTTAATTTAATTTCCCTTTTTTTCTTTTTCTCTCTTACAGTAATACATTAATAATACAGTATTAAAATGCTATAAGTACACGTGAAAGAGTTATATTGAGTAATATTAAATCATTTATGCCGATCTAGACCTCGAGAGACCCTGTGCAATATGATATTTCAGAGCTTTCCTGGTCAGAGCATGGAGGTTGGGTATTTTTAAATGGCAATATTTTATTTTAACTGTTTTAATTTTATTCTGTTCATAATTTATAATTTTGGTGTTTTGATGTTTACATTTTTATAAACTAAGGCCATATTCCACCAACATTTTATATCTTTTTTATTTTCTTTACAATGTTTTGACTTACGCTAGGGCCATTTTCAATTGAGTCCAACTAAATATCCATATTCGATATAATTTTCCTTAATCTTAGAATTAAATTGTCCTAATATTTTAGGGTTTTCTCTTTTGTCTCTCCATAGATGATGAAGTAGAAAACCTAAAATATTAGGGCAATTTAATTCTTCTCAGATTAAGAAAAATTATATTGGATATGGATATTTAATTGGAGTACGCCATTAAAACTTGAAAATGGCCTTACCATTGGCCGAAAGGTTGTCAAGATAATATAAAAGAAATAAAATGTTCTTGGAAATGAAAATTTTTTAATTGTTTATACAATATTTAATTTTTTTTTTTTAATTTTATTACAAAACTATTTACTAATTATTAAACAAACAAGAAAATAACCAATTTTAAACAAAAATTGTTTTAATATCTTAGAATAAAATAAATTTTACAAATCACACAAATATTAAGGTTACGTTATGGAGTGAATGAAATATAAAATACATTATAGAAATATCTCATTCCTTTCCATACTTGTAACAATGTAATTGGAAATAAATAATAGTGATTTTCTGAAAATTATTATTTATGCATTGAATTATAATCAAATGCAGTTAATTTTTAAATAAGAAGACGTTTTTATTATATAATTTTATTTTTTTAGTATCAAAACCAAAGGTTGTTGCGGTAATATGAAATTTACTACAATTTTTGTTCAGGAAAATAAAGAAAAACTACTTTAGAAAAAACTAGATCATAATCAGGGTTTCCAATTGTTTGAAAAAGTTCCCTTTTTGGGGAAACTTCTATGTTAAGAGGGGATAAAAAGGATACATTTTTAAAAATAAAAGTCTATTCTGAGTACAGTTTAATCTATTTTTTAAATAATATAAATAAAACAGACATAAAATGAGTAGTTACAGATAATATTACGTATTATTTTGTATACATTCGGGTGGAAGTGATTTTTGATGTGATGAGACTAAAATATGATTTCAAGGTAATATATTCATTATTTGAAATTAGTTAAGTACATATAATAATAGTAATAATTAAATAAATAATAAACTGAAAAGTACTGCGTTTTAGAATAGGACAATATATAAAAAAAATAATATAATGTGACAAGTCTTATGGAGAATAAGATGATGTGGGATACTGGTAAGATTGGCAAAAAAAATTAAATTATTGTGGTTTAAATTCATATTAATAAATGCTGTATTGATTGTATACAATTGTTGATAGCCATAATGTTGTAATTTCAAGTCTGAAGATAGGATATAAAAGTGGATCCCGAAACGTCATGATGTAGTTGAGTGGAAATGATTTCGGGAGAATAAATTACTGTAACAAATATTCTACAATGTAAATAAGTGTCTCCCTTAGGATTAATGAAGAAAGTTTTTAAATTCATTTTGATAGAAAGGAAGGGAAAAAGGGAAAATCTGACTGATTAAAAGAGAAATTAAAAAAAAAATATGCTGTATAGGTTGATCATAACTGACATAATACTTAATACAATCGAAAGGTGTGAGGGGCCGCTTCGATACATTTCATTTTATCGTGTAAGGGGTTTATAAGGGTTAAAATTATAAATAAACAATGAAACTAAAAAAACAAATCAAAAAGTAACCGTTCCAAAAAATAACGACCTTGCTTATCTATAGGAAACAGTTATTGGCATCAGTGTTCTTCCCCCACTCCTAGCCTAAGTCCCCGCCCACTTGTCCCCTCCCCCCAACCCGAGCATTCGAGACATTTGAGAATGGAAGTTCGGTCGATTCTGAACGGAATATTATGAACCTTGTTCGTTCGCTGAGTGGTTACAATCTCGTTTTAACTAGTTTTTTTTTTTTTTAATTTAACAGTTATATTTTTTTTAAAACGAATGATGGAATGGGATAACGCCTCATCTTTGAAACTGATTGAACATTATAGAGAAAACAGGTGCCTTTGGGATCTTAACTGCGAGGAACACAAAAACGTCTTTCTAAGAGAAGAAGCGTGGAGAAATATAGCATGGATGATGAATCGGGATGCAACTGAGGTAAAGAAAAAGATGGATTCGTTGCTCGCTTCCTTCAGAAGAGAGAGGTTGAGGTATTTTGGAGCCAAAACACCACCAAAACCTCCGCAAACGGAAGATTACAAAACGAAATGGTTCGGTTACAACAGTATGAAGTTTTTATTAACTAGATATCCGCCGAAGTCTGCATCAAACAATATGAAAATGGTAAGAATTTTTATTGTTAATTCTTAAACTACCAGTTTTAAGTAAATTTTTTAATCACAATCAATTAATGATTTTTTAAATTCTTATCATGAAACGAAAATTTCGACTATTGTAAATATTTTTTTTCTCCTCCCCAACCTTCGAATTTTCACCGAAGTGGAAAAGTACGCTATT